TGTCTAAAGTGAACAATAAAAATAAAGTGTCACCTTATTCTACAAATGCTGCCGACAGACATTTTTTAAGCTTTATAACAGCCAAACAAATTAATTCAATTATTAAGGTTTTTAAATAAATAAATAGTTGTAATTATTTTCTGTGGTTTAAAATAAATAAATTCCGTTACTTCTGTTATTATGCTACACATGCTGTTGATAGAGCTAAACTTTTTTATACAAGTTCTATTGATAAAGTTTAACTCGCATTGAACCACACACTTTCCTTTAATACCCATGTAAATGCTATTTTATCATCTGCAAATTTTGTTAATGTCACACAAATGTTTTAATGCCAATTTGAATCCAACATTTCCTAAACTAAAAAAAAAAACACTTATCAAAGCTTAAGATAGGGGATCCGTGGGCGACCTTCAGCAAATCATACCTTTCATTAAAACCTTATTTCTTAAGAACCTACACATTGAAAACAGCACAAATTCCCTGTAGTGTCCCTGTTGTGCCACACTATTGCAGACCACCATCGCTGTGGCAAAGCCTCATGGGAAATCCTTGATGGACTGATAGTGAGCATTATAGAGAGAATGCTGTTAATTAACACCCTTCTCAAGAGTAAACTCCATTTGATTTGGTATAATAGCTTATCAAATGCATATCTTCCATTATCGTTAATTATCCGCCACTCATTTTCTTACCATAATTGCTTTCAAATGGAAACGCTAAGCTCGTGCCAGGCTTCGGCCTTGTCCTTTCCATTCATCAAGTTACTCTGACGCAAACTGGTTCTTTCTCATCAACCAACTTCAGCAAGATCTTGGGCCTTAAGATTGCATCAGGAATCTATTTTCAGACAGACGAGACTTGCAAGTATCAAACTTAGTCTCCAACATCCTTATATTTCTTTTCTGTACTGAGTTAAGCTTTAACCCTTTCCTATACCAACTGTATGTGTGTGTGTGTGTGTGTGTGTGTGTGTGTGTATGTTAGACCAGTTTATGTGTGTATGTAGGATGTTAGACCAGTTTATGTGTTTATGTAGTCTGTTAGACTAGTTTAAGTGTTTATGTAGTTAATAAAACCTTACTTGCATCACACTTGACGTGTTCATTGTTTGCTCATAACCGGAGTCACTAATCACGCAGATTTAGGCTACAAAGCTTTTGTAGAATTGTACAGTAAGAAAGTTATTTCCCTTAACCAGGAAATTAACGTTCTTAGAATTGACAAGACAGTTGACCCTGAGAGGTCAGCTAAATATCTACAGCGGATCTAAAATATGAATAATTAATTATAACTAGTTATGGTTAATTATTCATATTTCCCATGAGCTGATTCGTTACAACAGCTTGAAAGTGCACATTTTAAGGGGGAAAAATAATGAAATTGCATTTAAAACAAATGAAAGATAAATTAAAAAGTTAAGAAATCGTTTTCTGCGGTTTAAATATTTTAAATAAATAATTTAATTAATTACAATTTAAAAATACAAATAATTTATCATGCACGCATGTTTTCTTTTTGTTTGTTTGTGGTAATCAATATTATTTTAGGTAACACTTTATTTTGATAGTCCACTTTAGACATTCTACTAACAGTAAGTAACTTTGCAACTACATTTCAACTAGCAGTCTTTAGAGTATTAGTAGGCTGTCTGCTTAATATCTGCTAACACTTTATTTTGATGGGTCCACAACATGCAACATACTGACTACAGTATAAGAAACTTTTTCTACTAACTAAACCTAACCTAACAGTCATTCTGAGAGTTACTAGACATGTATTTGCAAATTAATGAGAGTTAGTTGACATGTATTTGCAAATTAATGAGAGTTAGTTGACATGTAGTTGCAAATTAATGAGAGTTAGTTGACATGTAGTTGCAAAGTTACTTATAGTTAGTAGAATGTCTAAAGTGGACTATCAAAATAAAGTGTCACCTTATTCTACAAATGCTGCCGACAGACATTTTTTAAGCTTTATAACAGCCAAACAAATTAATTCAATTATTAAGGTTTTTAAATAAATAAATAGTTGTAATTATTTTCTGTGGTTTAAAATAAATAAATTCCGTTACTTCTGTTATTATGCTACACATGCTGTTGATAGAGCTAAACTTTTTTATACAAGTTCTATTGATAAAGTTTAACTCGCATTGAACCACACACTTTCCTTTAATACCCATGTAAATGCTATTTTATCATCTGCAAATTTTGTTAATGTCACACAAATGTTTTAATGCCAATTTGAATCCAACATTTCCTAAACTAAAAAAAAAAACACTTATCAAAGCTTAAGATAGGGGATCCGTGGGCGACCTTCAGCAAATCATACCTTTCATTAAAACCTTATTTCTTAAGAACCTACACATTGAAAACAGCACAAATTCCCTGTAGTGTCCCTGTTGTGCCACACTATTGCAGACCACCATCGCTGTGGCAAAGCCTCATGGGAAATCCTTGATGGACTGATAGTGAGCATTATAGAGAGAATGCTGTTAATTAACACCCTTCTCAAGAGTAAACTCCATTTGATTTGGTATAATAGCTTATCAAATGCATATCTTCCATTATCGTTAATTATCCGCCACTCATTTTCTTACCATAATTGCTTTCAAATGCTTTTGTCGGTTTGTTCAACATGTCAGAGATGTTGTGTCGGACAATCATAAAATCAAATGGAAATATGATTCCTATTCAAAACTAGCAGACAATGCGTATGAATGGCTGAATCAACCAAATTTATTCACCATTAGTCTACAAGTACAGATTAGAAAACACACACACACATTACTGTACACATTTGTGTCGTCAGATATACTTTGGGTGGGTTGATTATGCTCGAAAATGTCCGAACGGAACCGATGAAAACGCAATAAGCAACCCATAACCCACAAAGCCAACTCACTGTTTAACTGCAGCTAACCGAGCGTATTTACAAATCACCTACGCAGAATGAAACTGTCACAGGTGCACTAAAAACTCAGTGACCGGCGTATCGTAGAAGAAACCCAGAAACAAAACAGAGATAACCCAGCTAACAAAGATACGTTCTAGGAATGTTTTGCTAACATTGTTATTAAGTCATAAAAATGTTGTTTCTGAACGTCCAGTTTATTTATTTATTTACTTATTTTAAAATCGTTGTTATGCAAAGGTTTCAGGAACATTCCATTTTATAATTTTGCAAACATGATGGGAAACGTTACTTTTGAATAAGTAGTAACATTTAAAGGACGTTAGGTGAACATCCAACTAAAACATCACATCTGATCATTTTGCAGACATTATGGGAACGTTACTTCTGAATATTCTCTGACATTCTAAAGTAGCATTTATAAAAACGTTCAGACGGGTTTGGGGGGAAAAATAACGTTTTGAGAACATTATTAAAGACCAGAGAACGCTGAACAAATGTTCTATTAACATTACTGGAACAGCAACTACAGAGCTTAACTTAAAAAACAAAGGGAACATTCCATTTTATAATTTCGCAAACATTATGGGAATGTTACTTTTTATCATTTAAAAAACATTATACAAAGATCCCCAATTAACAGTAGGGGGCAGTCGTAAGTCGTTCCTGGACTTGTAACCCGAAGGTTGCAGGTTCGAGTCTCAGGTCTGGCAGGGATTGTAGGTGGGGGGAGTGAATAACCAGCTCTCTCTTCCACTTTCAAAACCACGACTGAGGTGAGACCTATGAGCAAGGCACCGATCCCCCAACTGCTCCCCGGGTGCCGCAGCATTGGCTGCCCACTGCTCCGGGTGTGTGTGTGCACTTGTATGGGTATGGGTTAAATGCAGCGCACAAATTCCAAGTATACCATACTTGGCCACACTCACTCACTCACTAACTCACTTAATTGTTCTCTGACATTCAAAAGTAACATTAAAAACCATTAGACAGACATCCAGGTAAACCATTTCAAGGAAAAAAAGTTCCATAAACAATGTATAAATACTGTTGTTGTGCTAACATGTTTTTGTGGTAATCATCAGTACGCTACAAATGCTGTTGACAGAACAACTTGAAAATAGTTGGGGAAATGTTATATATTTGATCAATTTACAAATATTATGCGAACGTTACTTTTGAATGTTTTCTGAATATTCTAAAAACAACTAGTAACAATAATAATAATAATAATAATAATAATAATAAAAATGTTAGTTAGATGTTAGATGTATGTCCGGCTAAACGTTTCAGGATCAAAAGTTCCATGAACGGCGTATAAATAATGTTTTTGTGCTAACGTTTTGAGAATGTTAGATAACTTTGAATGAACATTCTATAAAGGTTACTGGAAGAACAACACCAAAATGATGTTAATAGAGCTTAATAAAAAAAAAATAATACAAATAAAACACTGGGGAAACATTCAATTTTGTCATTTTGCAAATGTTATAAGAATGTTTTTTGAATGTTCAAAAGTAACATTTAAAAAAAAAAATTCGATCATCCAGCCAAAATGTTTCAGGAACAATTGTTCCATAAACAATGTATAAATAATGTTTCTGCGCTAAAGTTTTGAGAACATTTTGAAAACACCAGATAACTTTAAACGAATGTTCTATTAACGTTTCTGACAGAATGTTTGTTCATAACTTTTCCAGAATGTTCGCTAAAGTTCTAAAAACGATCCCTGTTAGCTGGGAATGTGACAAAAGAAAGTAAAACAACGTCAGTCATCTATTGTGCTTTTAAACCTTTTCCCCACTTCGTTATCGAAACGGGACGTGTTTTGAGAAGAGACACTTGCTAAAGTGCTTACGCCAGTTTATATTCAACCGCTATCGCTATTGTTTAGGATTCGAGTTAGAAATCATAAATCTATATAGGTTCTGATTTACTGTATGTATAAAGTCAGTGCAGGTTTCGCAGCAGTTCTGGAAAAATAGTTTCAGGTTTCTAGTCCGGTGTCCGCGCGCGAAGCCCTTGCGTTTGCTCTACGTGCGAGAAGAAAGTCTAGATCCTTCCCAAGCCGACCCGGAACTGATGGAGTGGAAAGCTTGCGCTGGAAGCGGAAACGAGTCAAGGTGGAACGCTTAAAAAAAGAAACCTGTCGAAGTGGGCCACCGCCGCGGATTCCTCCAGCTGGATTGTTTGTTGACATCATTCGCCCTCCCGTCTCGCCCTCTCAGACAGTTACTTCAGTCTTGCTGGCGGTTCTGTACTGATGATGGTGATGTCCGGGGATATACTGCAGGTGGTCCACCGTATGCATGCGGCGGTTGGCGAACGCCTGCCTTTTGTTGCCCACCTGCGCGCTGTTAACAGTCAGTGTGTTGTAGGACTCGTTGTTGCTGCTGCTGGGGTGCGAATGCATCTTCATCATTTTGTAGTGCCGGTCCATGACCGGTGTGGTCGGCACGAACATGTCCGTGTGCGACAGCGCCCGCGACATGGCCTTCTCGCGGAAATTGGAGCGCCGCAGGGAGAGCATCTTATCTGGCGAGAGCAGTGGGTCCTGGGAGAGCAGTCGGTCGGCCGACAGCAGCTGCTCCTCGGAGAGAATGCGTCCGTGGTACGGGGACAGACCGCCGGCGCCGCCGCTGTACGACGACAGGCCGTAGTCTCGGTGCGGTTTGGAGTGGGCGGGCGAGAGCACGTGGTCCTGGGACATGGCGCGCTGCACGCGCTTGGGCTTCTGGCGCTGCGCCGGCGGATCCACGCTCAGCTTGATCATGTGCGTCTGCAGGTTGCCGCCGCGATGCGTCAGATCGGGCAAATGGTGCTTGCGGATGTAATACTCGTCGTCCTTGTCGCCTGAGGAAGAGAACAGAGCAGTGCTGTTAACGGTAAACTAAAACGATTGAAAAACATTTACGCATCTTATTTTTGTTACTTGTCTTTCTTTAGTTTAGCTAAATCTGAAGTCTGTTTAAACTAATACTGAATTAAAAAAGAATAAACAAATTTACCAATATATTCAAAATAACAAAACACAAGAAAAACAAGCAAAAAATATATATATTGAAAAACATTCACATTACTTGAATGAACTAAAATAAACTGAAACTTAACTAAAATGAACATTTATTTTGTTGCCAAGGGCAAACTACTGAAACGTAAACTATTGAAAAAACATTATGTTATTTGAATTGGTTAACTAATTAGTTATGTTATTAGTTAATTGAAGTCAAATTTGAATTACTCAAAGCAAAATTTAAAAAAAAGAAGTAAAACTTTACTTAGTAAAACTAAGTTATAGTTAGTTATAATAACTAAATTATTAAAGTTAGTTAATAAATTAGTTGCCAAGACAGCATTTAAACTAAAACTAAGTAAAAATTAATGCTAAAAAATAAAGATATTCAAATCTAAAAAACAACAAAAAACTAATAAAAACAACATAATCACTAAAACTATTGAAACACATTAATGTTAACTGAAATAAAATATAAAAAATAACATTTCAAACATTTAGAAATGTAGTTTAGTTTAAGCTTATGTATTAAAATTACTACAACTAAAGCCAAAAATTAAAAAAAAAAAAAATCACAAGAACTAAAAAGACAGTGAAAACATAAACACACAATATATACTGTATATGCTATAATACTTTATTAAGGATACTAAAATAACTGGATCAGTCACAAAAGCAGAGAACAAACACAGAACAAATTCTGACTGATAAGAACAAAAAGTATGTCCTAAGTTTGAGTTTTATTACTTGGAGAAAAAAAAAGTACAACTGATGTGAAAGCTATGATTTTGCTGATGTAAAATACAGCACTAAATTGTGTTTTTATGTCTGTTTCCTCACTTTCTCAGTTTTTATTGCTCTGTTTATCTTTGCTTTGTTTTTCTCAACAATGGCACAGGAAACACAAAGTTGGAGTTGATGCAGCTGTGATGAGTCTCTCTGGATCAGGGAAATGAGTGTGTGTGTGTGTGTGTGTGTGTGTGTGTGTGTGTGTGTGTGTGTGTGTGTGTGTGTGTGTGTGTG